CCCAGCTATCAGTCATGGGTCAATGAGCTCTCTCTTGTTCAGCTCAACTGTTTCTGTAGGTTTCTCCAGTTTGATCTTGAATGCTTTGCTCATCCCTCCTCCCTTTCTGCAACTGGATTCCAGGAGTTTGGCTCAGTGCTTAGCTTTGGGTGTCTGCTTCTGCTTCCATCAGTTGCTGGATGAAGGCTCAATGACATCAGTCTCATTATAGGGGAGGGGCATTTAAGGTAGCCTCTCCACTGTTGCTTAGATTGTTAGTTGGGGTTATCCTTGTAGACCTCTGGACATTTCCCTAGTGCCAGATTTCTCTTTAAACCTATAGTGGCTCCCTCTATTATGGGATCTCTTTTCTTGCTCTCCTCTATTCTTCTCCTGACTCAATCTTCCTGTTCCCTCATGTCCTCCTCTCCCCTCCGCTTCTCCCCTTCTCTTTCTCCTAACTCCCTTTCTCCTCCTCCCCCATGCTCCCAATTTGCTCAGGAGATCTTGTCCCTTTCCCCTTCTCTGGGGACCATGTATGTCTTTCTTAGGGCTCTCCTTGTTTCCTAGCTTCTCTGGTGGTGTGGCTTATAGGCTGGTAATCCTTTGCTCTATATCTAATATCTATATATGAGTGAGTGCATGCCATGTTTGTCTTTTTGTGACTGGGTTACCTCACTCAGGATGGTTTCTTCTAGTTCCATCCATTTGCCTGCGAATTTCAAGATTCCATTGTTTTTTTTTTCACTGAGTAGTACTCCATTGTGTAAATGTACCACATTTTCTTTATACATTCTTCAGTTGAGGGGCATCTAGGCTGCTTCCAGGTTCTGGCTATTACAAATAATGTTGCTACGAACACAGTTGAACAGATTTCCTTCTTGTATGGATATTCATCTTTTGGGTATATGCCTAAGAGTGGAATTGCTGGATTTTGAGGTATACTGATTCCCATTTTCCTGACGAACCGCCATACTGATTTCCAAAGTGGCTGTATGAATTGGCACTCCCACCAGCAGTGGAGAAGTGTTCCCCTTTTTCCACATCCTCTCCAGCATAAACTGTCATTGGCATTTTTTTTTATTTTAGCCATTCTGACATGAGCAAGATGGTATCTCAGAGTTGTTTTGATTTGCATTTCCCTGATGACTAAGGATGTTGACCACTTTCTTATGTGTCTTTCAGCCATTTCAGATTCCTCTATTGAGAACTGTCCATTTAGTTCTGTACCCCACTTTTTAATTGGGTTGTTTGGTGTTTTGGTGGCTAGCTTCTAGGTTCTTGACTTCTTTGTATATTTTCCAAATCATCCCTCTATCAGATGTGGGGTTGGTGAATATCTTTTACCATTCTGTGGGTTGTCATTTTGTCTTACAGACTGTGTCCTTTGCCTTACTGAAGCTTCTCAGTTTCAGGAGGTCCCATTTATTAATTGTTGATCTCAGTGTCTGTGCTACTGGTGCTATATTCAGGAAGTCTCCCGTACCAATTTGTTCAAGGGTACCTCCCATTTTCTCTTCTAAGTGGGTCACTGTGTATGAATTTATGTCGAGGTCTTTCATCCATTTAGACATAAGTTTTGTGCATGGCAATAGATATGGATCTGTCTGCAGTCTTCTACACTCCAGCATCCAGTTATGTCAGCACCATTTGCTGAAGATGCTTTTTTTTTTCCATTGTATAATTTTAGTTTCTTTGTCAAGAATCAGGTGTTTTTAGGTGTCCAACACAATTCTTTACAGATCTTGAAAAAAAACAATGTTCAGCTTCCTATGGAAGCACAAAAAAGCCAGGACATCTAAAATAATCCCTTACAGTAAAAGGACTTCTAGAAGTATCACTATCCCTGATTTCAAGCTCTACTACAGAGCTATATTAATAAAATCCTCATGGTATTGGTATAAAAACAGACATGCTGATCAATGGAATTGAATTGAAGACCCAGAAGTAAATCCACACATCCATGGACACTTGATTTTTGACAAAGAAGCCAAAATTATACAATGGGGAAAAACATCTTCAATCAACAAATGGTGTTGGTCTAATTGTCTTGTATGTCTGCATGTAGAACAATGCAAATAGATCCATATCTATTACCCTGCAAAAAACTGAAGTCCAAATGGATCAAAGACCTCAATATAAAACCAAATACACTGAACTTAATACAAAAGAAAGTGGGGGAAAACCTTGAATGCATTGACACAGGAGACAACTTCCTAAACAGAACATCAATAGTGCATGCAGGAATTAAGATTGACAACTAATAAATGGGACCTCATGAAACTGAAAATCTTCAGTAAGGCAAAGTATACTGTCAATAAGTCAAAACAGCAATCTTCAGAATAGGAAAAGGTTTTCTCCAACCCCAAATCTGACAGAGGGTTAATATCCAAAAATATATAAAGAACTCAAGAAAGTGGACATCAACAAACCAAATAATTCAATTAAAAATGACATGCAGATCTAAACAGAGAATTCTCAAAAGAGGAAACTCAAATGGCAGAAAAGTACTTAAAGAAATGTTGAATGGCCTTAGCCGTCAAAGAAATGCAAATTAAGAATGACTCGGAGATTCTATCTTATACCGGTCAACATGGCTAAAATCAAAACCATGAGTAACAACAGCTCATGCTGGTGAGGATGTGGAGCAAGGGGAACACTCTTCCATTTATGGTGGGAGTGTAAACTCACACAGTTACTTTGGAAATCAATATGGAGATTCCTCAGAAAATTAGCAATCAATCTACCTCAAGACCCAACTATACCACTCTTAGGCGTATACCCAAAGGATGCTCAATTGTACCACAAGGACACTTGCTCAACTATGTTCATAGCAGCCTTATTTGTAACAGCCAGAATGTGGAACAACCTAGATGCCCCTCAAGTGAAGAACAGATAAAAGAAATGTGGTATGTTTACACAACGGAGTATTACCCAGCTGTTAAAAACAACGACATCAGTAAATTTCAAGGCAAAAAATGATGGAAGTAGAAAAAACTCATCCTGAATGAGGTAACCCAGACTCAGAAAAACAACCATGGTATGTACTCACTCATAAACGGACATTAGCTGTAAAGGATAATCATGCTACAGTCCGATGACCCAGAGAAGCTAAGTAACAAGGACAGCTGGGGATGGCACTTGAATTTCCCTGGGAAGGGGAAATATAATAGGCATCTCTAGTGAATGGGTGGGGTGGAAGTGATGGGAATAGGAGAAATCAGGTTGGAGAAAGGAGGAAGAGAGTGTTGGGAAAGACAACTGGATTTGGGGTGCATTTGGAGGGCCAAAGTGGAAACCTAGTGAAGGGAAACTCCATGGAATCATAAGGGTGACCCTAGCAAAGACTCCTAGCAATGGGGGTTATGGAGCCTGAACCAGCTATCTCCTGTGACTAAGCAAGACTTCCAGTGGAGGGAGTAGGACACCAACCCAGCTACATAACCTTCAACCTGCAATTTGTCCTACCTATAAGATGGGCTGGGGTGAAAGTGGCACAGAACTTGTGGGAGTGGCCAACCAATGACTGGTCCAGCTTGAGACCCTTGCTATGAGAGGGAGCTCATCACTGACACTGACTGGAGCACAAGAACCCGGTGCCTAGATAGCACAGAGACCTAGGATAGAACCAAAAATGACTGAAAAGGTAAATTAAATGATTCCTAATGGAATTCTGCTATATTCATAGATCATCTTAATCGTCATCAGATAGGTTTTATCCCACAATAGGTGGAAACAAATGCAGACCCACAGCCAAACATTAGGCAGAGCTTGAGGAATCCTACTGAAGAGAGGGAGGAAGGATTGTAGGAGCCAGAGGAGTCAAGGGTATCATAAGAAAACCCACAGAATCAACTAACCTGGGCTCACAGGGATTCACAGCAACTGAACTGACAACCAAGTGGCCTATGCACTCTGCACATACGTGACAGTTATGTAGCTTGATCTTCTTGTGGGACTCCTAACAGATAGCAGGGGCTATCTCCGACTCTTTTTCTGGCTTTTGGGGACCCATTTCTCATACTGGCTGGCCTTGTCCAGCCTTAATAAGAGGGGAGGTGCCTAGTCTTACCACAACTTGATATGCCATGTTTGGTTGATATCCATGGGAGGTCTGTCATCTTCTGGAAAGAAACAGGAGGAGGGGGCAAAGGGGAAGGGAGGACTTGGAGGGAGACCTGGCAGGTAGGGACTTGGAGGAGAGAGGGGAAACTTGTCAGGATGTAGAAAATAATATTTTTTAAAAAGAAGACAAATGCATGACATATTCATTTAACCACTGTATAAAGTGTTCTAGAGAGTTCTTTCAATGCTCTCTCATAAAGAGGGCAAGACCTCTATGATATGTCATCACTTTTGTTTGAGATAATCTGTAAGCAGGGCATTACATGTAAATTCTGACAAATATTCTATTTTTAAAAATCTAGCATCTGGGGGTTCATTTGGTACTGGATCTTACCAAGGAAAATGCTCTAATTCCTGCTCCTGTGGCTAGATGGACCAAGCCCATTCTGCATTCAGTGTCTTCAAAGAAATACGGAGAAGAGGCCTCTAATTTGTAATGCCAACTTATTTTCCAGTGGGGAAAACATTGAGCTGTGACATTGGAAGGTAGGGCCATGAGATGTTCTCCAAGTTTAACATGGTGTTCTTTTGAATTTTTCTCCCTACCTTATTCTCTCCCTCGAAATAACCTTAAAATCCATTGTTAGTCCTTGTCAGGGGCCTCTCTGAGATCCAGGAGATGCCTGAATTGAGGTGAAACTCGGGGCCCATTTCTTGAAGATATCATAAAAGCAAAATTACTTCAAGCAACCTTTTGCCGTGCCTCCAAACAGCAACAGTCTTCTGTGGGGGAGACCCACCTCTCTACGCCCACATTTACACCTCCCACGCTTCCGTGACTAAACTAACCACACCCAGGAGCGTGTATATGTGGAACATGCGCAGCCGGGTGTAACGGTTTTCTCTCAGGGAACAGGCAGCGCCCCACAGTGGTCTCTACCTGCTAAGCTCTAGTGATGGAGAACAAGTTCTTCTACTTCGACCTCGACTACTATGGGGTGGGCTTCTATGAGGAAGTAATACTGACTGAATCTCAGCAGAGGGCAGCTGCAGCAGCAGCCCGTAGACACTTTGGAAGAGGTGTACGAGTCCTGCATGAGCTAGGTGGTAAAGACTACAAGAATTCTGAATATGACCACTCCTATAATCGTAAAACGAAGGAGATGCGGGCCAGCTCCAGTGTGCGTGGACACAGAAAGCTGGAGGTACCTGGGAAAGCAGTTGGAGCAGTTTCTCAGAACTCCAATAGGAGACATACAAAACACTATAAGTTCACCTTTGGGCAACTTCGTGAACTGGACAGGGTTTTCCGAGAAACCCAGTATCCAGATGCTCTCCAACGGTACGTACATGCTTTTCAATGAATCCACTCTGGTTTCCAAGACTTTGGGCTCTTTTGCTCTCTCCTGACCTCTGCTACTTCGTTTTTTTTGTTTTGTTTTGTTTTGTTGTTTTTTGTTTTTGTTTGCTTGTTTTAATACTGTATCTTTCCTACTGAATTCAGAAGCCCTAGAAATGCTAGGCCAAATCTCTTTCCACAAGTTACATGCCGATTCCATTTTACTTTGTAACTTAAGACAGATAAGAATTACTAAAGGAAATCCTGGTTCTGGAGAGGTGAGAACTTGGCAGATCCCTGGGGATCACAGTGAAAACAGGACCAGTGACAGATACTGTATCAAAAAATACAGTGGGAGCTGAAGCGATGGTTCATGGCGTAAAAGTACTTAAAATGCAAGGCTGAAGATTGGTTTGTTTTTGCAACCCAATTAGAAAGCCAGATGTACTGATGGGCACCTCAATCCCATCAGTCCTACAGGCAGACGGGAGGCAGACACAGGATAAACCACCACAATATGGTGAGCCAGATAGTCCTAGTAGGCAGCATAGCCTCACAGACAAGAAAAACCCAGCCTCAACAATGTCAAAGGGAAGAAGAGACTCCCAAATTTACAGCCCAACCTCTACTAGACTGGCCCTTTGGCTCACTTGTCTTAGTGTGTGTGTGTGATATTATACACTTTTATATAAATATATATATTAGTAATTATTAGATCAAGGTGATTGCCATTCAAGCATGTCTTCCTGGATTTAAACCCATACCCAGTATCCACCCAAAACATGCACAGCTACACAGGAAAAAAATGAACACTGCTGTAAGCAAATACATGCAATACAGTCAATTATCAATATATTTCTCAACTACAGTTTCTTATAAGAATTTTACTTACATAAGTATGTGTGTGAGCATGACACAAAACCTAAGCATGTGACTGTCAGTGGAAAATTTGAGACAGAGTGTTCTTTCCTTCCATCATGTGGGGCCCTGGAATTGAAATCAGGTCTTCAGAAATGTCATCATGTCCCTTTACCCACTGAACAGTCTCCCTTGGCTATGCTAAGGAGTTCTTGAAACAATATTTAGTGTTTTGACAAGATGAAGTCACTTCTAAAGAGTCCTGACTGAAAAACGATGAAGAGACTATTTGCTGAGCTAGGGGCTGGTATAGCAGGATAGAAACGTGGAGAAATCATATATGTGCACTTTCCTTACTCCGCCCCCCCCAAGTGGCAATGGCTAACCTCTGTCCCTTTCTTTCCACAGGAAAGCACTTGCAGAGCTAATTCAGGTGGATGAACGTAAGGCTTCAGGACAAGCGTGGCCTTGTCTTCCACACCTGAAGCTCCTGGGTCTTTTACACCTGCTTTATGTGGGCAAACAAGAGTTGGGCTAATATGTTCTTTGAAAGTAGAAAGTGTTTGAAAAAGTAAACTCCTGCTTGTGTTTCTTCCATGTTACTGGAAGTAACGGAATATGTTTTCCCAGGGTTGGGCGGGGACAAAGAAACTGGGTCTCCCATTCTCCGTGTGAAAGGAATTGTGTTTATGTGTGTCTAAATATAGCATATATAGATATAACTATGATGTATGCATGTCATACACACCTTCATGTCCCCTAATTAATATTGAACTACATGTGACAAAAAGATGTTCTGCCTAGTATTTCTGTCTGGAGTCAGGTTGGAACTCAGGATTGCCATGAAAATATTTCTGTGATGGAAGGAAGTAGCATTATAGGCATTTCAATTGTTGCTAAATACTAAATGCGTGCACATAGCTAAAAGAGTAAGTGAATAAATACGGAGCACGGAATGACTTGTTTTATACACAATGAGAAAACTTGTTAAATTAAGGTGGAAAAGATGTGGGATAAGACCACATCTGAAAAGCCCTTGTGGCTGGTTCTTCTGATTTTCTTTTGTAAGAAGAATGCAGCTCTGAATTTAATTACCCCATCGGTATCCTGTGTCAAGCCTGAGATATTTCCCCAATCCGCTTTAACTATGAAGAAGGCAAGGACTGACAACTTTGAAAGTCTGTCTAAAGAATGGCCCTGATAATTACCATGGCCATTATTAAATTAATAATTAAATGGCCCAGAGGTTACCATGCAGCTCATTTTCCAAAGGCTTCTGCAGAAGTGTGAGTCTGGTGCTGTCTGTGCTGAGTTGCTTTGTTTGATGGGTTAGAGTGGTGGTGGAATGGAAACCAGGATTTCCTGTGCCATGAGCACGTCCTCCACGCTGGGTACCCCTTGCAGCCTTGAAAAGCTGGTGAGGAATTGCAAACTCTACTCTTCTGTGAAAGGGAGAATGTCAGTCCCATATGAAGTTGTGTATGTTTTTCCACCATAATATTAGCTACTTAGTATAATAAACCAGCCTCTATCTTGGTCTGATTTCAGGCTTGGTTTAAAAATAAGAGAGCTAAATACAGGAAAATGCAGACGGAATTACTACTCAGCTGTGACACATCTGGGACCCTGAACAACTCTTCCCTCAAGAGGAATGAACATTCTGAGAGGACTTCTGTTCCCGAGGAACCAAAAGGGTTCATCTTGTGCCGGCAACATCTTGGCCAATCATGCTGGTCATAAAAACATTATCATGTTACATAAAATAACAATAAAGACTAGATTTTTCAACACACTAGTTGCATTTGTCATCTTGTTTCCATAGAATGGAATAACTTTTTGTTCAGCTTCCTGCTAAATGGAGGCCAGAAGAGAAGCCCAATGCTTGGACAAGAAATGACCTCTCTGCTACAGCAGAATAAGGGGATATATGGTGGCCACACACTTGTTATATACAGAATGGACTTCTATCTTCATTCTGCTGCAGATTCCTAGGTGACTTTCATCATCCTACCTTGTACTTTGAGGACCAGTGATGTAGCCTACTTGGGCATAGCATCTCTTCCTCATGAAGAGCATATTGGAGCAGGAGTGTACATGAGGGTGAACTTGGCACTGGTAGCAATAGTAATGACAAGTGGCTTAAGGATAAAGTTTTGGACACAAAACTATACAACTGTTCAGAGTCAGCTGGGAAGAGATGAAAGGCTATACTTAAAAATATAGAGGAAATGGGGAGAGTTAGAGGGGTACAGGGAAACCTGGTTACTAGTGCTCAGGACAGAGGATACCAGAGTAGAAATGGGAAGATGGGCATCTGTTTTATTTTCTGTAGCTTGTCAACAACTACCTGTTCTACAATGGGAATAAGATTTATATTTGTAAGTTTTAAATGAGCAATACTTTAACTTATTATAAAATTCATTCAAAACATACATAAAACATGCAGGTGGTGTTACAGAATTCAAGATCACCAGGGAAAGACAACTAGACAAAACTTCTTTCAACTGTAAAGATTGAAAAAAATGGCCACCTGTGGTGGACTCATGAAATAGAAAATCCACATTCCTACATCCTAGTCAAAAATTTCCCCAAACCCAAACAGATAAATAACCTTTCCTTGCCTGTCACAGGTTGTTCATGCCCTGGTCCTGGGCAAGAAAAAAAAAGCAAACAGCAACAAAAAAAACAATTTGGGGCTGGAGAGATGGTTCAACAGTTAATACTCTTCCAGAAGACTCAGGTTCAGTTCCCAGCACCTACATAGCAGCTCACACCTGTCTATAACTCCAGTTCCAGTGAGTCTAAGATGCTCACACAGACATACATGCAAGCAAAACACCAATGCACATAAAATAAAAATTAAAAGGTAATCATCAAAAGAAGATTTTTTAAAAAAGTTAACTTGTAGAAACCTTGCTACAACAGCCACCTTTGCCAGTCTGAGAGCTGCTGCAAAGGGGGGAGACAGGGGTTGAAATGTTTAAAGACATAAACCACAATTGTCTAAACTCTGGGGATGTTCCTGCTATGTGAGACATTAGCATGTTTTTTGTTGTTTTTTTGTTTTCTTTTTTTGTGTGTTTTCTGAGCCAGCAGTGGTTAAGCAAGATTACAGAAGCAGAATGAGTATATAGTTAATATTTTAGGATGACAATTATATAATAATTTCTTGAGTTGTTCATATATTTTGGAGCTCAGCCCTCTGTCAGATATGGGGTTGGTGAACATCTCCCATTCTGTGAGTTGCCATTTTGTCTTATTGACCGTGTCCTTTGCCTTACAGGAGCTTCTCAGTTTCAGGAGGTCCACAATATTAATTGTTGCTCTTAGTGTCTGTGCTATTGGTGTTATATCAAAGAAGTGGTCTCTTGTGCCCATGCATTCAAGGCTATTTGCTCTTCGGTCAGGTTCAATGTAACTGTTGAGGTCTTTGATCCATTTGGACTTGAGTTTTGTGTTATTGGGGTAGATATGGGTCTATTTGGGGTAGATATGGGTCTATCTGCAGTCTTCTACATGTCAGCATCCAGTTATGCCAGCACCATTTGTTGAAGATGCTTTCTTTTTTCTGTTGTATGATTTTGGCTTCTTTGTCAAAAATCCAGGTGCACATAAGGGCATTTGCTCAACTATGTTCATAGCAGCGTTGTTTGTAATAGCCAGAACCGGAAACAAAACATCCCGAGTGAGGTAAACATGGTACGTGCTCACTCATAAGTGAGAGTTAGATGTAAAAGAAAGGAAAAACAGGCTACAATGCACAGCTCCAGAGAAGCTGCGTAGAAAGGACGACCCTAATAAAGAAACGCAAGGAGGGTCCCAGGAAGGAGAAATAGTTAAGATCTCCTGGGTTGAACATACCTTTAATTCCAGCAGTCAGAAGGCAGAGGCAGGAGGATCTCTGTGAGTTTGAGACCAGCCTGGTCTACAAGAGCTAGTTCCAGGGCAGCCTCCAAAGCCACAGAGAAACCCTGTCTCGAACGTCCCCCACCCAAAAAATCTCCTGGGTAAACTGGGAGGAGATGGGGGATGGGAATGTGAGACCCAGTTGGGGGAAGGACAGAGAGGGAGAGCAATGAAAGAGATATCTTGATAGAGGGAATTATTATGGGATTAGGGAGAAACTTGGTGCTAGAAAATTCCTAGGAATGTACAAGGATGGCCTGAGCAGTAATGGAGAGGGTGCCTGAACTGGCCTTCCCCTATAATCAGATTAGTGACTCCTCTGATTTTCATCATAGAACCTATATCCAGTAGCTGATGGAAACAGATGCAGTGACCCACAGCCAAGCACTGGGCTGAGTTCCTAGAGTTCAGTTGACAAAAGGAAGGAGGGATCATATCAACAATGGGGAGTCAAGGCCATGATGGGGAAACCACAGAGACAGCTGACCCGAGCTAGTTGGAGACCATGGACTATGGACTGACAGCTGAGGAACCTGCATGGGACCAAAATAGGCCCTCTGAATGTAGGTGACAATTGTGTGGCTTGATTTATTGAGGAATCCTGCCAGTGGGACAAGGACTTATGCCAGGTGCATGAACTGGCTTTTTGGAACCCATTCCCTATGGTGGGATATCTTGCTCAGCCTTGATGCGGGGGCGGGGGTGCTTGGTCCTGCCTCAGCTTGGTATGCCAGACTTTGTTGACTCCCCAAGGGAGGCCTTACCCCCTCTGAGGAATGGATGGGGCTTGGGATGGTGGAGGGGGGCAGGAGAGGGGAAGGAGGGGAAGTGGGGTTGGTATGTGAAATGGAAAAAATAAAAAAGTGTAAAAAAGGCATTAAGTTTCGGGGCTTAACTTTTTACACACTGTAGTATTCTTGATATACACTATGTTCCTATATACTTTGTATATGTGCAAGATTCTTATCCCGTGATCAGTCTTCTATTTAGATTGCTGTCAAGACTTTAACTACAGACAGGGTTGACTTTAGGGTCATGGTCCAGATAGCCTGTGCTTAACAGTCCCTAGGCCAAGAACAAGGTCCTGCTGAGTCTTAGGTTTTCTTTTTTCCCACAGTAATTTAATTTGAAACTCATTTGAACTGGAGCTACTTTTTAACCAATACAATGATGAATGTTGTAAAAAATTTCTAAAAGTTGCCTTGTATTATTATTTTATTTTTATAGAATTTTGTGCTTAGGGTATTGACTGGTTTGTTCTGAACAAATGGAAGACTGTGGAGAGATTGTTAAGAGTTTAGAATGGAGGATACCTTAAATATCTCAGCAAAGACCTTCCTCAATGCCCTAGAAATTTGTAGGTATCCCTTCTTCCCTGCCTGCACGAACTCTACTTTGGACATTTGTAACTGGACATTGTCTCCTACCTGCCAGTTCCCTAATAACCACTCAGAGGCTTAAAAGTAATTACAAACTGTTTGGCCTATTAGCTCAGGCTTATTATTAATGAGCTCTTACAATTAAATTAATGCATTTCTACTAGTCTACATTTTACCATGAGGCTCATAGCTTGTTACCTCACATCTTGCTTTCCCAGCAGCTGCAGGTGTCTGCCCTGACTCTCCCATTCTTCTCCATGTATCTCTGCTTGGATTTCCTGGTTGGCTCTATTCTGCCTTGCTATTGGCCAAATCAGCTTCTTTATTAACTAATGGTAATAAAACATATCCACAGCATACAGAAAGACATCCCACATCAGACATTACTCATAAATAAAATTGGAGCCTGCCAAGCTTTTGTGGTCTTCCATTGTGGCATTTCAAGAGTGTTTGCAGAGCTTTCTGGCTGCTCTGGAGGAAATTATGCCTCCCCAGAGCCGGGTATGAGCAGTGTTGAGCCTTGTGAAAGACGGCCCAGAAGCGTCCCATGCTATTTGAAATATCAGCTGTGTGCTAAACTATCCTTCAATTCTTCACTCTGCACAGTCCTGTGATGATTTGTGTGAATGACCCAAAGTGTCAGAATCTGCCTTCTTCAAGGATCTCTAGGCCAGAAGCAGATGATGCCAGGAGAAAACAAACAACAACAACAACAAACCGTCTAAAACACGCACATCTGAGTTAGCTGCAAAATTGTTATCAAAGCTGACAGATTTTCTCCTCTGATACCAGGGCTCCAGTTGTTAATCCTTCCACCCCTCCAGTTGGAATGGGTTGGAGAAATGCTAGTCCATTAGGGCTCCTGCTACTCTCAAAGTGAAGGCAAACCTTATACAACAGGCCAGCTGTTATCAGGAAAGTCCCTTGGGCAGCCATTAAAGGGGCTGCATGCCCAAGAATGTCAGCCTTTAGACTTCCATACATAAAGACCTGATCTTAACACTTATTATCAGTCACAGAAAATATTAGAACACAGGTCACAGAGAAGGAAGATTCCTCTAAGACTTGACAACACCTGTCTGGCCAAGGATATCAATAAATTACATTTCAAATGAAGCCTATGGCTAGTACCTGGCACTCTGAGTGAACTGAGGAAAATCACAGAAAAGGGCACAGTGCACAGAAATACATACGAAAATGGTAAGAGTAAGATTTGTGATGTCAGAGCCAAGACTGTGAGCTTGGTAGCCAATGGTACAGACTGTCTTGTCATGGTAGATGTTATTAGGCACTTCTCTCAGATAGGGACACGAGGAAGAATGCTAGTGAAGAGTCAACACAGGACACTGTCCAGATCATAGATAGAGAGGCAGTAACAGCCAGGTTGCTTTAGAAAGATTTGACTGAAGTCACCCAGCAGGCAAGAGCAGGAGTGGTAGACAGAGTGATGACCCCTCATGGTTCCTTCATATCTGCCAACCTTGGGGCTTTTGTACATGATCCAGAAAACTCTGGATACCCAGCCACTGATGAATATTGTAAGTCTGGTTCATAAAAGAGTCCTGGAACCTTCCCTTCTGGAATGCTACTAAACAAGACCTCCCTAAACATTTTTATTTAAATTTTTCTTGAACCTAAAATTTTATGTCATCAAAAGTAGACAGGCAGGAAACACTTGTATAAAAATACAAGTCAAATACTAAAAATAAATAATAAAGAATTTTACTTTAAAATGATTGTTTATATAACCATGACAGGGCCCCAGACCTTAGTAGGCCCCTAGACCTTAGCACAACTGACTCCATGATGGAAGTCCCATTCAGATGATAAGATCCAGTATGTAGACAGCACCACCTGCCAAATGCAAACAAACACCTAATCCATCAAAGTCCATAGTTCTGGAAAAGTCTCTTACTGTACTAACCTTGCTTTTTGGCTTCTATAGTCCTGCTTCTGGCTGACTGTTCTTGTTATTTGAAATGATTTTTGTGCTTGAAAGGTCACCCCGAGAAAGGTTTAGGGTTTGGGGTCCCAAACATTTGAACTCTTGACCAAGCAGTTTTCTCTCGGTGATACTCTACAACATGTATGTGCACATATATGATTATATTATGTGTTAAAATGAAAAGCAAGTCTTCATAGTTACACACATGCTTATTTTTCTGTTTACCCCAAATTAAATCATGGTCTAATTTTATTTTGCAGGATGTAATGAATCAGCAAATATTTTTCAGAGTTAAGCATTACTTTGATTTCCTAATTTCCAACAATAAGAACGATGCTTCAAATAATGGTACAAAAAGATGAAGGTTTATTTAGGACCATATAAGAAGAAATTGGAAATTATATCCTAATATAGTTTATTTTATTGTCTTATTTTTATTGATATCTTCTCTCCACCTCTAAATCATCTTAAAATGCATTCTCAGCCATTGTCAAGATCCTCTCTTAGAGCCAAGGAAAATCTTCAGCTCACCACCAACTTCTGGTCCATTTCTCGAATGAGTCTAAGAACTAGCATTTTGCTTCAAGCAGCTTTTTGTTTTTTTGCTATACTACTTATGACAATTGTCATTATTCCATGGGGTGGATCCATGCACCAGTTCGTGCCCATACTTCACCCCTTGTGTGCCCAACCTAGAGCCTCACCCAAGGTTGTAAGTTGAAAGCCAATAGCAGCGAGGGAGAGGGGAACGTGTGCATGCTTAGAGGGCCGTGTGCAGCTTGGGGTAGCAATTGCAGCCTTTGTGGAAGCCACAAGGGTGCGCCTTCTGAAGAGCTCAAGTCATGGCCCGCAAGTACTTCTACTTCGACTACGACTACTATGGAGTAAGCTTTTATGAGGAAGAAATAATAACCGAACCTGAGGAAAGGTTGTGCTACTCAGCAAGCAGTGGCACCTTTGACCAAGGAGTCATAGAAGCCCTGAATAAGCTATGCTGTGAGGGCCACCAGAGCTCTGGAGGCAACCATAGCTACGAGGGTTATGCCATGAATAACAACAAAGGCACCGAGCATGGAGAGCTGGAGATTGCTGGGAACATGATCAGAGCCAGTGGCCAGCCAGCATTCAGAATTCCTCGGAAGCCATACAAATTCACGCCTGGACAGCTGTGGGAACTTCGGGCAGTTTTCGAAGAAACTCAGTACCCAGATGCTCTCAGACGGTATGTATTGGGTTTGTCCTTCTGGACTTTGGGCTACTTTTTCTGTCCCTTGGCCTCTCCTCAGTTTTGTTAAAAGTTTCTAATGTCTTTCAAATTCAGCATATAGACTCACTCATAACTGTGCCACTGAGGTACAAGATCCTCAGCGAGCTTCCAGGGCACAGAGCCTCCATGGGCGCCACAGAAGTGCGCCCTCTTGTGAGCTCAGGACATGAGCTCACTCTGAGGAAGAAATAGCCGCTGAACCTGAGCAAAGGGGTGACCTACACAGCAGGCACTGGCTGGTTTTGCAAAGGAGTCACAGGCTCCCAGCATGAGCTGTGTTGTGAGGGCTACAAGAGCCCTGTAGGTGACCATAGCCTCTTTTTAGTTTTGTTAAATCTGGGTCTGAGTTGTGCAGGCAGGTCTTGAACTAGCTCTGTATCCCAGGCAGTCCTTGAACTTGTGATCCTCCTGCCTCAGTCTCTTCAGTAGCTGAAATTACTGGTTTGTGTCATCAGGATTGACTTCCTTCCCCTCTCAGCCATGATACCAAAGTCTTTACTTTTCTCTATAATGATGTTTAGGGGAGTCTCTCTATGATGGCAAGGTGAAACGTGAGCCCATTAAATAACTGCGCTTCCATGCACTTAGTCCCCAGCTACCTCTCTCCTGTTTTATTTATCCTCTCTATGTGATTCCTCTAGGCACCTCACATAAGGAAAACCAGGCAGAATTTGTCCTTTCTGAACTAACCTGCTTCAGTTGGCATGTCTTCAAGCCTTTTCAGTGTGCTAACATCAGGGAGAGTTTCTGTTTTCTCTGATGTCAGTTCTATCCCAAACAGCCCTTTGCACAGCTACCAGGTGTTTTCTGTTATCACACCACCTGTGAAAAGCTGTCTGGGTGCATTTTCTCTGTGGCCCATATGGATTGTGCTTCCCTGCTGAGCAAGGGGAGTAGAGAAATGTCTTCCTTAAAACTCCAGGTTCTGTTAGATTTGTTGTATCATGTGATCATCCCGTCCTCGCTTTTTTAAAGGAACCAATTCCTTTGTGGATGTACTGTTTGACATTTCTCTGCAGAGAGCATGGTGTTTCTTGTGTCTTCAGGGGCTCAACAGGCTTGTTATTAGTGGGTGTTGTTAATAGCCACCTTCTGGGTGTGAGATAATATCTGGGGTTTGAAGTGGATTTCCTTACTGCTGGGAAACTTTTCCTGTGCTTATGGCCACTATGGCCTATCTTTGTGGTCAAACGTCTCTTTAAGAAAGTCTTCTCATATCTAAATCTGCATGTGTTTTGGAGTGAGTTATTGATGTTCAAATATTCTGTTTGATTGCATGTGATGCTTTCTTGTTAGGATCATTTCTTTCAATACACAGGAACGTTAAAATGTGTTAAACATCTAAATTTATCTATTTTCTGTGTATTGCCTATGTGGGGCCTGGTTTTTGTACATAAAATATTTCAGAGATTAAATGTCCTGAAGAATGAAGACTTTTCACACAGCTGCAAACCTATACCATTCCAGTAGTCAGTTTGTGTAGTTAGCTGTACCTAGTGTCACAGGCCTTAATCCCAGCCATATGGAAAGCAGATCAAGGAAGATGGGAACTTCCAGGTTTAGCGGATCTCAGGAGCATGCTCAAAGCTAGCATGAGCAGCTTAGTGAGACTCGATCTCAAAATAAGACTGAAAACATATAAATATAAAAATATGCAACTCAGTGGTAGACCTGTTGCCTACTATATCTGGGACTGTAGGTCCAATTCCCAATGCCATAAAAATATGTATAATCTGCAAGTGGCAGATTTAGATATTTATTTCTTCAATAGTACATTAATAACAGCTAGACTACACAGCACTCAAAAAACAGCCTTTAATTTTCAGACAAGGCAAAAAATACACTTCTTCCTCCCTCTCATACAGTGCATCCCTGCTATAGTTTCCCCTCCTTCCACTCCTCTCTGTCCTCCCCCACAATTCCCCCCTCCCCCACCTCCCTTCAAACCACTTCTAAATAATGCTCATTTAAGGATTACTGAAGAATCTACTTGGAGAGGTGTGAGGGGATATAGCTCACTATCACTATGTTAATGTGATTATAACTATTTCTTTTATGAACTTGGAAGCCCTGTGTTTGGTGCAAAAATATCTAGAATATTTTCTCTTGAATTTTTCCTTAATGACTACATAGTGTTCTTTCCTATCTCTTCTGATTAGTTTTGTTTTGAAGTCTGTTTTGTCAGATATTAAAATAGCTACACCTGCTTGCATCTTGGTTCCATTTGCTTGGGATACCATTTTCCTATCCTTTTACCCTAAGGTAACATCTGTCCTTGGAGTTGAGCTGTGATTCTTGAATGCAGCAGTAAGATGGATCCCATTTTCTTATCAAATCTGCTAGTGCGTTTTTGATAGGGAAAAGTATTGGCCATTAATATAATTAGTTATTAATGTTTGGTGTTCATTGATTCCTGTTATTTTGTTGTGGTGTAGAATTTTCTCTTCCTTTGATTAACTATTCTAGGATTATTTATTGCTTGTGTATTCTTGGGTGTAGTTAACCTTCTCTTCAGCCTGAAGTTTTCTTCTAGTGTGTTCTGTAGAGCTGGAATTGTGGATAGTAATTGCTCAAATTTGTTTTTAATCTTTAAATGCTTTTTTCTCTCTCAGTCTAATGTGATTAATAGTTTTGCTGTATCTAGTAGTCTCATCTGACATCTGTACTCCCTTGGAGATTCTAGAACATCTATCCAATCCCTTTTGGCATTCAGACTCTCTATAGAAAAGTCGGGTGTTGTTCTAATGAGACTGCCTTTACATGTGACTTGGTCCTTTTTCTTTGCAGCTTTTAATATTCTTTATTTGTCCTGTATGTTTAGAAGGTATTCTCTGGTCCAGTCTATTTGATGTTCTGTATGCTTCTTGTACCTTGATAAGCATCTTATTCTTTAGAGCGGGTAACCCTTCTTTTATGGTTTTGCTGAAAGTATTTTCTGTACCTTTGACCTGGGTTTTTACTCCTTCTCTATACCTATTATTCATAGGTGTGGTGTTTTGATATCGTCCCAGATTTTCTGGGTTATTTACGCCTGGATTTTTTCATTTTTTATTTGAATTAGAAACAAGATTGAATTACAAGACAATCCCAGTTCCCTTCTCCCTCCCTTTCTCCCCTACCACCCCCCAACTAAAACCCTACCTATCGCATATCCTTTTTTCTAATCTACACCTTATTCAAACTTTCTGCTCCCATCCTTCCTCTTCTTCCCTTCTCATTCTCATGGCCCCCTCCCCCCTCTTCCGATGCTCTCAATTTGCTCAGGGGATCTTGACCCTTTCCCCTTCTCCAAGAGACAATGTTTGTTTACTAGTTTCTCTGGCAGTATGGATTGTAGGCTGGTAATCCTTTACTCTATGTCTAAAATCCACATATGTACATACCATGTTTGTCTTTTTGTGCTTGGGTAACCTCGCTCAGAATGGTTTCTTCAAGTTCCATCCATTTTCCTGCAAATTTCAAGATTCCATTGTTTTTTTTTTTTTCTG